GGCCATCAAGGTTCGATGACCCTTATCTCCCCCTTTCTGCATACCTTAACTAACCAAATCACTTTATACTTGATCAAAGAGGCCAGATGTAGAGTATGTGTACCATTTTTAGGGATTTGCCGGTGAGTTTTCTTGACTCGTTAGCTTGTATTTTGTTGTGACGATGTTACCTCGCTCTGATGATGTCCGTCATATGCCGTAGGAAAGCTTAGCACCTTTTCACCGGGATCGAAGGAGATTGCCTTGGATACAGCGTCAGCATGAATCTTTCAGTGATGGAACCGACCTTCGGATCTCTTCACCCAACACTTTCACTAAAAATGGAAGTAAGCTCAACAATTATGAAGCAAGTGATTACTCGAAACCCAAATTTTCTTCGAATATATTATCTCGTCTATACTCCAAGGTCGATCTGAAAGAGTACTGGGTTACCTTAAAGTAACGTCTGCCTCTGTGACACATTGGCATCTTTGGCTGTGTTGGATAGTGGCAATATGTCACCAGGAGGATCTTAACTCGATTTTGAGTCCTCTTTGATGTGGTGATGAGGCCTAGGCTAGGTCTAAACTACAGTTATTTGGGGAAAAAAACAAGTGAAAATCACCGGAACCATGTAACCTATCAATTACTTGGTGGGAAATTCGACTATCATTCCTCAACTCACTGTGGCTAAAGTTCACACAATCACTTTTGCCTAAGTTTACAGAGGCCTAAAAGATGGTCTTAGATCTGCTTAACTAGTTACGCCTGTCCAGGGCCATCTGTCCTTGCATGCGATCTGTTTTGTACTGTACAGACATGAATATTCCTGAAAAACGGCAGTATGCAAGTTTAGACCACATTTGTGCTCATACCAGGCATACACGCGAAGCTGGATCTGATGAGTATAATGAGTTTATCAAAGTGTCGATCATCGGAATAGCAACCTTCTATCGTGTGCCGTGTCTCTAAAGCAATCAGGGTGGAGCTGTTGACGCATTCAAGCGGTCTAACACGTTGGACTTTGTAACTTGATAGATGTTTAACCGACCCTGAAATGGACTGATCAGATAACTTGCCCCGAGGCAGTCCATGTTGACTCAATTTCGGACTACAGCTACGATAATTTTAGGTTCACTACATATTTCGCCAGAAAGTAGACCCTTTCTAAGTAGATCCAGAAGTGATTTTTTCGCGTCCTCAACTTTCTATTTGGTTGCTATCAATGGGATTTTGGTAGTGTTTTTTCGCAAACTATTCTGCTTCGTCCGTCATCAGAACTTCCAACATTTGGCCTGATTCATAAACAATTATCTACTGTTGCAATTGGAGGCCTCGGCGAGAAGAGTCACCATCGAGTTTCTTTGATTTTATATTGGACACAATCTTTTAGCCACGAGCGATGTCGACCATGTTGCTGGCAAGACAATGCCGAATGCACTGGAGATCGGTAGTCAGATTCGCTTGATGCTATCGCGATTCTAAATGCGATAACTTGAACAGAATGCTCGAAGCGGATTCAAATTCGCCTTGAACCACATCCTTGATGGTAGTACTCATTCAGGGCTGACTTCATTATTGAACTCGCCTCTGTCATGTCTTCCAACGTTTACTAAACAATACCAAACAGTGACAAGACACAGTTCTTTCTTTGATTTCGTCACAATAACTATTAAATAGCTGCGAAGTTATAATGAAATCAATTGTCATAGGTCATTTATTTTGTTAATTGTGCAAAAATGTAATTTAAGACGATAATTTTTCTTGACCACCCCCTTCATAGTTGATGCAATGCCGAGACTTTCATTAATGAGATGAAGGAAAGAAAAGTGGGCTGTAGTATTTGGATTGATTAATCTCACATTTGGGTGAAAATCACGATGAAAAAAGAAACTTCGGCAGTAAAGAGATCGATTCATATGAGGCTATTTCATCGAATGGGTACCAATTCTTCGTTTTAAAATCGGCACAAGTTTAACAAGCAATTTAAATCTATACTCCTACATAGTGATTCCCAAACTGTGCGCCACGGCCTCTTTACAGGCGCGCCGCGAAATATTGTAAAAGCTTGAATTTGAGAAGATGTGCAGTGATTTGCAGGCTCATCCATTACATTAATTATTAAATATTTATTTAATGTTAATAAAGTACAAAAAAATAATGAAGATACACGAGCTTTATTTATTTTTATCTCTTACTTACGAATAGTCATACTTTTGGTAGGGCGCCATGGAACAATTTTAATGGAAAAAGGGCGCCGCGGCTAGGAAAAGTTTGGGAACCACTATCCTAATACAAGTAGGAAAGAATACAATTAATTTTTTTCATCTCACTGTCCAGCAAAATCTTAACATTTTTCAGCCTGGAATCTAAGAAAAGTAGCGTTTACTGACCACTTTTAAATGTGGATACACAAGAAAACATGGTTTTGAAAAATCCCTTAATAACTTCATATAGACGCATTTTCACTTCGTTTAAAGAGGACAGTGAGAGGGAAATA